GGGGGACTTGAGGGAGCCCCCCAGCTGGCCCTGGGCTGACTGCCAGCAGGGCTGCAGGTAAGACAGGAGGTGGACAGAGATGTGCCGAGTGACTTGAGCACAGCCTTGTGTTAGGAAGATTGATCAGAGAGGAAATGAGGACCTGGTGGGTATGAGAGAATGAATATGAGAGACTTCACAGGGGTAAAAGCACAGGATTGGTCACGACTGAACACGAGTGGTGAGGAAGGTGACCAGTATCAAAGGCAGTGACCGAGGCCAGGACTCCCTGCTGCGGAGCCACCGGCAGGATCTCAGGTGACTATCAGGCAGCAGCGGGCAACTTGCTCATGGAACCCCCAGAAGAGCCCCATGGAAACCTCAGCCTAGATCAAAGAGACACATTCTGAACTCGGCTCATCTGCATCCAGAAAATCCTCATACACTGAAATATGAGCTGACTTCCTCCCCCTTCCCACCCCCAGCCCCAGCCCCTGTCATCACCATGACAACCATGTATGAGGAGCAGCTGTGGCCTGATCAGGACGGATTCTTACCCCCGCCTCGAAACTTCCTCTGGTTAGCCTCTGCTTCCTGTGGCACCCAGAGCTCCCCCACCCGTCTCCCCGCCTCCTTCCTCTGCCCTCCAGCCCTAAGCACTGACACATTTCTAGGTGGATCCTGGTTTCATTCAATCCCCCGGTATCCTTAGAAGCATCACTTGGGCCCCTCCACGTGGAGGAGCAGTGGATCAGACAATTCCAAAGTTACACCAGTTATACATGGTAATAAAAATCAAGGTAAAGGCTCCATGCTCTAGGACCAAAACGGATGGAGGTCTGTGTAGCCCAAATCGGTTCCTAACTATCTGGGAGACTTTGGGCAACTCACCTCACCTCTCTGAGACTCAGTTTCCTCAATTCCAATCAAGATAGCAATAGTATTACAGATGTTTATAAGAACTGAACAAAATAATACATATAAAGTAGTTGACTTGGAGGCTAGCGCATGACAAATGCTCAGAATCTGTGATTATGGTCCCTGCTGTAACCCCATGAGGGCAGGGATTCTGTCTGCTACATCTGCAGTGCCAGTGAGTCCCTGGCCCAGGGAGGGTACACAGTGGCTATTTGTTGGAATAATGAACGAAGGTTATTACTGTTTAATAAGCCAGGATGAAAGGGGGAAGGGGAGGGGAACTACTTATAGAGAGCAAAGGAAGGAAATATTAACCAAGGTGCTGGCCAAGCCCAGTCATTAGGCAGAATATCAGCTCAGCCAGTGTGGCTCAGTGGTTGAGTGTCATGAGGTCAACGTTCAATTCCTGGTCAAGGAGCATGCCCGGATTTTGGCTGGATACCCAGTCGGGGGCGTGCAGGAGGCAGCTGATCAATGACTCTCTCATCATTGATGTTTCTATCTCTTTCTCCCTCTCCCTTCCTCTCTCTGAAATCAATAAAAAAAATTTTTTTTTAAAGAATATCAAAGTAGGAGGAAACAAGATGGCGGTGTAGGTAACAGCTGTGCCCGCCGCCTCCCACAACCACACCAAAATTACAACCAAGATACAGAATAACCATCGCTCAGAGCCTCCTGAGATCTGGCTGCACACAAGCCCTACAACCAGGGAACTGAAGCAGCACTGAGACCAGGAGGAGGGGCGGAGACGCAGGCGGATCGGGGCTGAATCCCGGAGATGCAGCTGCAGGCCCACATCCGGTGCCGCGGGTTAAACCCGGGACGTATACCTCCCCCACCTTTCCCGGAGGGGCGGGGGGCCCAGCCCCACAGCAGGCCCACAGCCCAGGGCTCCAGGGCTGGGAAGAGAAGTCCCCACAACCTCAGGCTGTGAAACCAGCAGGGACTGTCCCTGAGGGTCGCGGAGGCTGCGGGAGCCCCAGGCTTTCCTCTTAAAGGGCTGCGCAGACGCGCTCCCTCTGAGCCCAGCGCCGGGCAGCAGCCTGAAAGGACCCGGGACACTCGGGGAGGAACTAACCTGCCTGGAGTCGGGGTGAGAGCTGGAGGGACGGCTTCCTCCCAGGCAGAAGGGCTGGCGGAGGCCATGGCTCCTGTGGCGAGTTCTCCCGGAGCACAGCCAGCAAGCAAGCGCCATGTTTGAATCGCCAGCACCTGACTCATGGCCCTGCCCTGTGATTCCCGGAGGCCCCACCCCTCCCCACCTGCAGGCTCATCTGGGCCATTTCCAGGGGCTTTTCTGTGCAAGTGGCCTCTCGGGCCTCATGCTTAGTACTTTCCTAAAATCTCTCAAACAAGCAGCAGTGGGCCCCATACGGCTTGATAAGTGGCCCCAGGCCTGGCACTAGCAGCAGCCTGCATTGGCTCATAGCTTGGCCTCTCCTGGACAATGCCAAGCCCAGCACAAGCAGCAGCCAACTACGGTTTACTGTGTAGCTCATGCTGGGTGGCCCTGGGCAAAGCACTGGCAGAGGCTGACTTTGCACCTCCTGGGAGGCCCCAGAGACAGTGCACCTGGTGGTCAGACTCAGCCACACTGGATTACAGCCCTACTACATCCACGAGTGACACACTTGAGGGGTGCACTTGGTTAACACCAAAGCCCCACTGAAGTAAATCCTCCTCCATAGGGGTGTCTCCAGCACAGCAGCTCCTTGGCTGTAATTGCAGCAGGTCTTCACAGATGATTGGCCAGGGGGTCGATTCCTCCCATTGATGCCAACAGCAACCAAGGCTCAACTACAACAGGACAGTGCACACAGCCCACACAGGGGAGCACCTAGAAGGCCCAGCTCAGGTGANCACAGCGCACACAGGATTGCACCTAGATGGCCCAGCTAAGGTGACTGGGGAGGCTGAGCCACTGGACCCTACATGACACCTACTACACAAAGCCACTCTACNAAGGTGACTGGGGAGGCTGAGCCACTGGACCCTACATGACACCTACTACACAAAGCCATTCAACAAATTCCAGGAGACATAGCATCTCTACCATAGCATCTCTACCTAAACAAACACCTGGAAGCAGCCAAAATGTGGAGGCAAAGAAACATGTCACAAAGGAAAGAACAGAAGATATCTCTAGAAGAGAAACTAAATGAAATGGACCCAAGCAAGCTAACAGATACAGAGTTCAGAATTTTGTTTATAAGGATGTTTAAGCAGACTATTAGGGAAATAACTGAGAAAATCGATAACATAATAAAGTACCAATTTGAAATGAANCATAAGACTATTAAGAAAACAAGTGAGACCATTGATGACCTAATAAAGTACCTATCAGAAATGAAGGCTACACGAACTGAAATGAAGAATAATTTACAGGGAATCAACAGTAGAGTAGAGGACGCTGAGAATCAAATCAGCAATTTGGAACATGAGGAAACAAAAAACACCCAACCAGAAGAGCAAAAAGAAAAAAGAATTCAGAAATATTAAGACAGTGTAAGGAGTCTCTGGGACAACTTCAAGTGGCCCAACATTCATATTATTGGAGTGCCAGAAGGGGAAGAAAGAGAGCAAGAAACTGAAAACCTATTTGAAAAATTACAGAAAACGTCCCCTACCTGGTATAGAAATAGTCCAGGAAGCACAGAGGGTCCCAAACAAGAGAAACCCAAAGAGGCCCACA